TCCTCATCGGAGCTATCGGTGGCCTGTGGAAAGAGAAGAGAGCATTAAATAAAGGAAGGTCTTTCAGTGGAATCTCCCCTAGACACTCACCGATACCCCATTCTTTTGATAAGCCGACAAGAGCTTGTTTATCGACTCCAAATCCATGTTATACAGCTTGCTCTCGTCAAGCTCGCTCCCGACGGTGCCCTGGAGCTTGGCATCCGGCAGCTTGGACCATTTGATGCTCTTTAATGGATTCGTGGGCTGTGGCACGTTATTCTTTGGCAGTTCCACCTTGGGTGACACAGGATCTGCAGGCAAAGGATAGAAATTAATTTATGTGGCGCTCCTTGGCTTAACTTAACTCTGTACTCACCCATTGCTGGCGTCATCCACGGTGGCGAAGGCAGTGCACCCGGCGGTGGTGGTGGCATCATGGCCGGCGCCATTTTGGCGGTGGCGGCATTATGGCCGGCGCCATTTTGGCGGTGGCGGCATTATGGCCGGCGCCATTTTGGTGTTATGGCCGGCGCCATTTTGGTGGTGGCGGCGATATGGCCATGACCATGGCCGAGGGCGGCGGCGGCGGCGGTGGCTACACAGCTCCATTGCAGCCAGTCAGACCGGCCACCTTCTGGGCATCGGGTATGCTGCCCTCGGTGACCAGATGCTCGAGACGGGCCCGCTTCTGCTGCTCAATAAGCAACCGATGATACCGATCTACAAAAAGTTGTGAAAAATAACTGTCACTTTTCGATAATAGTAGAAAAAAATAGCTGGTCACAGCACAAAAAAGTTATGAAAAACAACACTAATTTTTCGATATTAAAGTAGTGAACATTAGCTGGTCACACTACAAAAAAGTTATGAAAAACGACACTAATTTTTCGATATTAAAGTAGTGAACCTTAGCTGGTCACACCTCCATGCTGCATATGGCGGCTCCATGTCAGCTGATCGTCGACCTTATTATTATTATTATTAACATACCTAACCATCCTCGCCGAACAGACGCACGGCGTGATCGAAGCGGGTCTTCATGTCCTGGAACTTGTCCTCCAGCTCCGCAAAGTGGACCGATGCCGAGGCGTGGAACTCCCGCATGAAGGGCAAAGTTCGATTGAACTCGATTTTGCGTGCCACATCCGCCAGGCCGGTGAGCAGCATCTGGATGTCCATGTCCATGTCCATCTCGCCCAGCGACACCTTGGAAGCCTCACGGGCATGCGGAATGTGATCCTCCAGCTCCAGTGGATCCTTGAATTTACTCTCGATTACCTGGACGAGATATTGCAGCAGGGTGGTGCCCTTGGCGGCACTGGACTTGGTGTCGGCCACGCGCCCTGCGGTTCATGTAGTTGTCTGTAGTATTAAGAATGCACTTAAATAGTGAAAATAAATGAAAAAGTGAATGCATAGATTACCCATAGCCAGAATCAGCTCAAGGAGCTTTCGCAGACGTCGGGAACTAGCCACTACGCGGTACGCCTCTATTACACTGGCGATGCGGTGTATAAGATCGTTGACCGTCGGCATAAAGCGCTTCCTGTAGTGGAGACTCTTCAGCCTTTACTCGTAGTGGGGAATCCTGCCAGGACAAAAGAACAAATAGTTTAGTGACTGCCAAATCTCTTCGATGCCCTTCAAACCCACTTTGATATTTCGTAAAGGAAGCGATCGGCGGGCCAGTGACTCAATATCCTCTTTATGCTCATCCAACAGTGCATGTTTCTCCACCACGGGCGTAAACTTTAGCAGCTGCTCGTTGCTGTCCATCGAGAAAATGGCCCTAGAAGAGAAGAGATTAGTATTTGGAACCAGGACGTGACTAAAGCAACTCCTACTCGCTCATCTTCAGCTTGCTGAGCAGGACGGTGCAGTTCTGGGCCGGCGTCCATCGATCACTGAGAGCACCTTCTGCTTTGGCTTGCCGCCAGTTGCCCGCAGATCCTCATCGGAGCTATCGGTGGCCTGTGGAAAGAGAAGAGAGCATTAAATAAAGGAAGGTCTTTCAGTGGAATCTCCCCTAGACACTCACCGATACCCCATTCTTTTGATAAGCCGACAAGAGCTTGTTTATCGACTCCAAATCCATGTTATACAGCTTGCTCTCGTCAAGCTCGCTCCCGACGGTGCCCTGGAGCTTGGCATCCGGCAGCTTGGACCATTTGATGCTCTTTAATGGATTCGTGGGCTGTGGCACGTTATTCTTGGCAGTTCCACCTTGGGTGACACAGGATCTGCAGGCAAAGGATAGAAATTAATTTATGTGGCGCTCCTTGGCTTAACTTAACTCTGTACTCACCCATTGCTGGCGTCATCCACGGTGGCGAAGGCAGTGCACCCGGCGGTGGTGGTGGCATCATGGCCGGCGCCATTTTGGCGGTGGCGGTCATGGCGGTGCGCCATTTTGGCGGCATTATGGCCGGCGCCATTTTGGTGGTGGCGGCGATATGGCCATGACCATGGCCGAGGGCGGCGGCGGCGGCGGTGGCTACACAGCTCCATTGCAGCCAGTCAGACCGGCCACCTTCTGGGCATCGGGTATGCTGCCCTCGGTGACCAGATGCTCGAGACGGGCCCGCTTCTGCTGCTCAATAAGCAACCGATGATACCGATCTACAAAAAGTTGTGAAAAATAACTGTCACTTTTCGATAATAGTAGTAAAAAAAAATAGCTGGTCACAGCACAAAAAGTTATGAAAAACAACACTAATTTTTCGATATTAAAGTAGTGAACATTAGCTGGTCACACTACAAAAAAGTTATGAAAAACGACACTAATTTTTCGATATTAAAGTAGTGAACCTTAGCTGGTCACACCTCCATGCTGCATATGGCGGCTCCATGTCAGCTGATCGTCGACCTTATTATTATTATTATTAACATACCTAACCATCCTCGCCGAACAGACGCACGGCGTGATCGAAGCGGGTCTTCATGTCCTGGAACTTGTCCTCCAGCTCCGCAAAGTGGACCGATGCCGAGGCGTGGAACTCCCGCATGAAGGGCAAAGTTCGATTGAACTCGATTTTGCGTGCCACATCCGCCAGGCCGGTGAGCAGCATCTGGATGTCCATGTCCATGTCCATCTCGCCCAGCGACACCTTGGAAGCCTCACGGGCATGCGGAATGTGATCCTCCAGCTCCAGTGGATCCTTGAATTTACTCTCGATTACCTGGACGAGATATTGCAGCAGGGTGGTGCCCTTGGCGGCACTGGACTTGGTGTCGGCCACGCGCCCTGCGGTTCATGTAGTTGTCTGTAGTATTTAAGAATGCACTTAAATAGTGAAAATAAATGAAAAAGTGAATGCATAGATTACCCATAGCCAGAATCAGCTCAAGGAGCTTTCGCAGACGTCGGGAACTAGCCACTACGCGGTACGCCTCTATTACACTGCGATGCGGTGTATAAGATCGTTGACCGTCGGCATAAAGCGCTTCCTGTAGTGGAGACTCTTCAGCCTTTACTCGTAGTGGGGAATCCTGCCAGGACAAAAAGAACAAATAGTTTAGTGACTGCCAAATCTCTTCGATGCCCTTCAAACCCACTTTGATATTTCGTAAAGGAAGCGATCGGCGCGGGCCAGTGACTCAATATCCTCTTTATGCTCATCCAACAGTGCATGTTTCTCCACCACGGGCGTAAACTTTAGCAGCTGCTCGTTGCTGTCCATCGAGAAAATGGCCCTAGAAGAGAAGAGATTAGTATTTGGAACCAGGACGTGACTAAAGCAACTCCTACTCGCTCATCTTCAGCTTGCTGAGCAGGACGGTGCAGTTCTGGGCCGGCGTCCATCGATCACTGAGAGCACCTTCTGCTTGGCTGGCTTGCCGCCAGTTGCCCGCAGATCCTCATCGGAGCTATCGGTGGCCTGTGGAAAGAGAAGAGAGCATTAAATAAAGGAAGGTCTTTCAGTGGAATCTCCCCTAGACACTCACCGATACCCCATTCTTTTGATAAGCCGACAAGAGCTTGTTTATCGACTCCAAATCCATGTTATACAGCTTGCTCTCGTCAAGCTCGCTCCCGACGGTGCCCTGGAGCTTGGCATCCGGCAGCTTGGACCATTTGATGCTCTTTAATGGATTCGTGGGCTGTGGCACGTTATTCTTTGGCAGTTCCACCTTGGGTGACACAGGATCTGCAGGCAAAGGATAGAAATTAATTTATGTGGCGCTCCTTGGCTTGACTTAACTCTGTACTCACCCATTGCTGGCGTCATCCACGGTGGCGAAGGCAGTGCACCCGGCGGTGTGGTGGCCGGCAGGTGCCAGCGGCATTATGGCCGGCGCCATTTTGGTGGTGGCGGCATTATGGCCGGCGCCATTTTGGTGGTGGCGGCGTATGGCCATGACCATGGCCGAGGGCGGCGGCGGCGGTGGCTACACAGCTCCATTGCAGCCAGTCAGACCGGCCACCTTCTGGGCATCGGGTATGCTGCCCTCGGTGACCAGATGCTCGAGACGGGCCCGCTTCTGCTGCTCAATAAGCAACCGATGATACCGATCTACAAAAAGTTGTGAAAAATAACTGTCACTTTTCGATAATAGTAGTAAAAAAAACAGCACAAAAAGTTATGAAAAACAACACTAATTTTTCGATATTAAAGTAGTGAACATTAGCTGGTCACACTACAAAAAGTTATGAAAAACGACACTAATTTTTCGATATTAAAGTAGTGAACCTTAGCTGGTCACACTCCATGCTGCATATGGCGGCTCCATGTCAGCTGATCGTCGACCTTATTATTATTATTATTAACATACCTAACCATCCTCGCCGAACAGACGCACGGCGTGATCGAAGCGGGTCTTCATGTCCTGGAACTTGTCCTCCAGCCGCAAAGTGGACCGATGCCGAGGCGTGGAACTCCCGCATGAAGGGCAAAGTTCGATTGAACTCGATTTTGCGTGCCACATCCGCCAGGCCGGTGCAGCATCTGGATGTCCATGTCCATGTCCATCTCGCCCAGCGACACCTTGGAAGCCTCACGGGCATGCGGAATTGATCCTCCAGCTCCAGTGGATCCTTGAATTTACTCTCGATTACCTGGACGAGATATTGCAGCAGGGTGGTGCCCTTGGCGGCACTGGACTTGGTGTCGGCCACGCGCCCTGCGGTTCATGTAGTTGTCTGTATATTAAGAATGCACTTAAATAGTGAAAATAAATGAAAAAGTGAATGCATAGATTACCCATAGCCAGAATCAGCTCAAGGAGCTTTCGCAGACGTCGGGAACTAGCCACTACGCGGTACGCCTCTATTACACTGGCGATGCGGTGTATAAGATCGTTGACCGTCGGCATAAAGCGCTTCCTGTAGTGGAGACTCTTCAGCCTTTACTCGTAGTGGGGAATCCTGCCAGGACAAAGAACAAATAGTTTAGTGACTGCCAAATCTCTTCGATGCCCTTCAAACCCACTTTGATATTTCGTAAAGGAAGCGATCGGCGCGGGCCAGTGACTCAATATCCTCTTTATGCTCATCCAACAGTGCATGTTCTCCACCACGGCGTAAACTTTAGCAGCTGCTCGTTGCTGTCCATCGAGAAAATGGCCCTAGAAGAGAAGAGATTTAGTATTTGGAACCAGGACGTGACTAAAGCAACTCCTACTCGCTCATCTTCAGCTTGCTGAGCAGACGGTGCAGTTCTGGGGCCGGCGTCCATCGATCACTGAGAGCACCTTCTGCTTGGCTGGCTTGCCGCCAGTTGCCCGCAGATCCTCATCGGAGCTATCGGTGGCCTGTGGAAAGAGAAGAGAGCATTAATAAAGGAAGGTCTTTCAGTGGAATCTCCCTAGACACTCACCGATACCCCATTCTTTTGATAAGCCGACAAGAGTTGTTTATCGACT